ACTTATTCAATCTGTATGCTGAGCAAATAATCCAAAAGCTGGACTATATGATGAAGAATTCAGCATCAAGGTTGGAGGAAGACTCATTAATGATATGCAGATGACACAACCTTGCTTGTTGAAAGTGAAGAGGAGTTGAAGTACTTATTGATGAAGATCAAAGACTACAGCTTTCAGTATGGATTACACCTTGGCATAAAGAAAACGAAAATCCTCACAACCGGACCAGTAAGCCACATCATGATAAATGGAGAAGATACTAAGTTGTCAAGGATTTCATTTTACTTGGATCCACAATCAATGCCCATGGAAGCAGCAGCCAAGAAACCAAACAACGCATTGCATTGGGCAAATCTGCTGCAAAAGACCTCTTTAAAGTGACATGGGTGGCCAAGATCATTCAGGAACATTCAGTTACCACAAATGGGTAGGTGTAGGCAGAAGCTTTGTGTGAAATACCATTTGCCTTAAGACAAAGTTGAAAGTTATGAAAAGTCAGGGTAGTGTTTACAGTGGCGGCATATTTTTAAAAACTTGTAGGTTTCAGATACACAGTCAACACCACTGTTCTCGTATCTCCCTTCAGTGCTGAGATCTCCTCACACATTCTAGTGAGATCTCCTATGGCTGAGGTTGAGACGGTAGCTCTGGGTCTACATCTGCTCTGGACCGCTTAGGTTTGCTCCCTTAGAAATCTAGTTCCTACCTTGTAACTGGACCACCAGGTGAACTTTGGAACTGGATCTAGTGAACTTTTCAAGGGCTACTCTTGCATTTGCATTGGATACATTTCTGAAAACTCTGTATAATGCAAGCTATGTATATTGGATCACTTTTTCCAGTGGTTCCCACTATAATCTTCACCTGTGTGGAAAAAAATGTGGGACAAAAGATGTAAGAAGAATATCTTCAAGGGTAATATCACCTACTTAATAAGGCAAGCCTGATTGTTGGGTACATTTAATTCTTCCACAAAACATTTGAAAAGCAAACCTATCTCTAAGCTCTCTGTCCACCAGCTGTCTAATAAACACTCGGGCTATCATCCTGTCAGATGTAATTTTCATCGACTGCATGGGGTTTAGATGTTGAAGGAACTACACCATGTCAGTGCCCTCTGGTTCAGCTGAACCGGGGAGGAAGAGCCATGTTGGTTGACACATCATTTAGATACAAACCAGGTACCCAGAGGACAGCTGATCTGTGCTGGGTTGGTCTGTGCCCTCAGCCATCCCGTCATCATCTTGTCAGTTTGTATCTGTGGGTGCTGGCAAACCCTAACATGCATATTGAAAGCTTCTTTGGCCTCTGATAGGTCAACAGTGACAGAGAAGGGAGAGAATCTGAGGTATGTAAGTTGGATATGCCTCTAGGCTTTGTAACTGAATAAATGGAAAATTTTATGAAAAGATTGAATATATATCCAACAAATTAACCTGATCTTTGTGATTTCGGTTGGGAATATCCCAAGAGTTACTAAAAGATCACAGCTGTCATTAGGATCCCTTATGTCCTGTTTTAGTCATATGAACTCTTTGTTCTCCTTCATCTCAGCAACTGCCCTCTGCCTTTGGCATGGAGTACTCCTTTCTGACACCCTCAACCCATTCACTGGATTAAATCCAACTCATCTTTTGAGGCATAACTTCCATTTTATCTTTTGTGCTTAGATCAGTGCCTAGCATATAATAGGCACTTAATAACACTTGAAGGAACACTGGTGGCGTGATGGTTGAGCGCTCGGTTGCTAACCAAAAGGTCGATCATTCAAACCCAGTAGCTCCATGGGAGAAAGACCGGGCCATCTGCTTCCGTAAAGATTACAGCATAGAAAACCCTGTGGGACAATTCTCCTCTGCCACGTCGGGTCACTATGAGTTGGAACTGACTTGATGGCAACTAACAACAACAACAAACGTTTGTAGGAGGAATTAAAGGAACTATTGACCACACCTTTTATCTTGCAGATCATTCTTCTCAAAATCTCCTTTTTTCTTTTGATTTTGCTAATTATGGAGGCCTGGCCCAAGGGGAATATGAAAGCTCTCCTTCTGAAGGTCTGACTCTGAGGTATGAAACAGGCTCTGAAAGCTGCCTCTTTAGCTACACAGGTGAAAGGATAGACATTGCGGCCTCAGAAGCGATTGTTTTCTTTATCTAAATGGGGCAGGGCATCATTGAGTTCTACTACATGAGATGCAAGGGCTATAAAGAGCATCCATTTTGTCTCCACCTCCATACACCCAATTTTAGAAGTGGGAAAAAGAGGTTAAGAGAGGAAAGAGCTCGGACCAAGGTCAGCCAGGCAGTCATTGGACAAGTTAGGTTTAGAACCCACCTCTCCAGCTCCCAGCACAGTGCTCCCTCCCATCCCACCCAGCCTGAAGCTCAAACTTCAAAATAGCTGGAATCCTGAAAGGGAGGCAAAGGGATTCATGGCACATGCCAGTATCACATAGTTAAGAAAGTAAAATGGTATTTTAAGATATAACATTGGTCTTGATATATCTTTAAAAATATTAACTTTAATGGCTATCCCAAAGGCCTCTCATGAGATAGATCATGAGATAGAGCAGTTGTCTGGAAGCTTTCAACATGCATCTGTGCAAAATCCTAAATAACACTGCCAACCTCTGTGTAAGACCACACAGAGGACCACCTTGGACCTTCAGGAACATCCTTGCCATATATCCCTGGAAGTTCTGGTTCTGAGAAGTTGGTCTGGGTAAATGTAAGCTCTGGTCACAACCAAAATAAAAGGACCAGGGATGTGTTCTGAAAAGTAAGGGAACCCACTACCTGATATTGAAATTCAAAAGCAAAGTCACAGTGGCGATGCTGTTGGTTATGACTCCTATTGGTGTATGGGGGTTTCTACAAAGGTGGGCACCAACTGCAGTCCCCTGCCTGTTCTGACACCGTGACCAGTGGCATGCATTGGTGAGGTGGTATTTGGGTGCCATTTGTAGTGGGAAAGAATTGTCACAGATCAGAAGGATACACAGAATTGGCTATGTCTATGCTGGAATGTCCTCACTGGGGCCCTGGTGCAGGTGCTTCCGTACTGGTGGCTTCACCTTCATTCTGCACTGAGCTAGACGTGCTCAGGTGGGCTCTGTCGCTAAGGCCTCTAGTGACACTGTCATAAGACGGTGGGAAAGAGGTGGCAGACGCAGTTTCAGATCTGTCCGGGAGCACACAATTTTCATTTGCCATGAATGCAACAAAGCCTTCATCTGTGGGTGACACAGTCTCCTCCTCAGCCCTTGGCACATCTGAGGAGTTGAAGATTGTCATGGAGCGTTGTAGCACATAGTTCCGATAAGCCTTTTGGATGACGGTGGCTGAAACGTCTTCTTGCTTCCACCGCAGGGTGGTTGCTATAGGTTCATAAGATGCCTTTGAAAGATTAGTTGCCATAAACTTCTCTTCCATATTTGCCTTCAGAGAATCCAATTCCCCAGATTCTCCCAACACATTCTTGGTGAATGCAAAAAGGATATCCAAACAGTGTATCTTATCTCTAGGGACTAAGGGCAGGTCCATCTGGATTAATACATTCCGATTGGGTTTTGGGATTCGCAGGGGGCCAGACAGGGTGTCTGCAAAGTCTGAGAGGGCAGAAAAGGTAATGAACTGGGTGGCCTCCGGGTCAAACTTCTCCCAGGTCTCATAGAACATGTCAAAGTCATCCTCGCTCAAGGGCTCGGTGCTCTCTTCTGTGGCGACATTGAAGTTCTCCAGAATTACTGCAATGTACATGTTGACCACGATGAGGAAGGAGATGATGATGTAGCTGGTGAAGAAGATGATGCCCACGGCTGGGCTCCCACAGTCCCCCCTGGTTCCACTGCCATTGGGCAGATTGGGGTCACAGTAGGGGGGCCCTGTGTTGAGGATGGGACTGAGGAGGCCATCCCAGCCGGCCGACGTGGTGATCTGGAAGAGGCACAGCATGCTGTTGGCAAAAGTCCTGAAGTTGAACATGTCGTCGATGCCAGCCTCCCATTTGACGTATGCGAAGTTGGCCATGCCGAAGATGGAGTAGATGAACATGACTAGGAAGAGCAGCAGGCCGATGTTGAACAGGGCGGGCAGGGACATCATGAGGGCGAAGAGCAGCGTCCGGATCCCCTTGGCTGCTCGAATCAGCCTGAGGATGCGGCCGATTCGGGCCAGGCGGATGACGCGGAAGAGTGTTGGAGAGAAATAATTTTCAAGTGACTTCATGATTGCAGAAACCACCAGGCCTTTAAAAGAGAGAGAACACTATATAATTAGTGCTTCCAACTATGAGGTCTGACAATGTTGGCTGGGATCACACACCCTCATCTCTCCTCACTATGGACTTCCATGTGAGCACCCCTGTTCAAGGACTCTGACCCTCTGAACCGGGCATTGTGGTTGGCACAAAAGAGGGCATCAGTAAACGTTCACTGCACAAATCTTTTCTCCCTCATATAAGTCTCATCTTTCCTACCGCGCTCTGATTTTTACCTCCACCTGGAATGTTCTCTTCTTAGTTAGCCTCCGTGGTCACAATTCTCTATTCCACATGCTCACAGTTTTTGTCTGTTTTCATCTGTGACACAGACCCTGATCTTCTTTGCAAATGCAGCCTTTGGGTCATGCCTTTCCTTCCATCCTGGTCTTCTGCTCTATGAAGTCCAGGACCCCCTATGATTCATCTCCCTATCTCCTATTGTGAAGATTGACTCAGTTCCTGGCACATACTCCTGTGGTTAATTGTACAGAGCCTGGTATTAATTATAAGGGGGCCCGAAGAGTCAGGGAACTTGCTGACAGCTAAGGCAGGATGGCTTTGAGTGGCCAGCTGTCTGCATAATGGCTTATATTTGTTTCTTTCATTTCCAGCTGTGTTTGAATGCTATGTTTGTGCCTGGAGATGGGTTTGTTTAGGGTCAGTTACAGCCCCCTACCCCAACTATGAACAAGGTTAGAAAGATGAATAATGCAAATGTCTCCCTACATAATGGCTAACTTGAAGATTTCTGAAGCTTGGTCTTGGGGACCTGCAGAGGCCTACTGAGACCACCAAAGGATGAGGCAAGGTCTTTGGCTAACAGAGGATTTAAAACCTCTCAGGACAAGTGGTGAAAGGTGCAGTACTATGCTCTCTCTCGGCAGAGTTCCCTTGATCCTCTTCCCCTACCTCCCGTTCTCTTTTTTGAAGAGCGTAAAGGCAAGGCCCACTGGAAACATCATCATCTTAAGTTTTAGGGTCTTTGGAGGAGTCATTATTCGCTGTCAGTTTCCAAGGGCTGGCCATGGCCTGTGCACACAGTAGGTGCCTGAAAATACTTCATGACCACAGGGCAAAGACCAAAGAAACCTCTTCATTTCACTAGAGAGCAGCCCATGTGCATTTTAAATCTGCTGGGCTGGGAAAACAGCAAATACGAGGCTCCTCTAACATGTAATGTCTATTTAAAAAAATGTGTTGGTTTCCCCTTTAGTTTTGAAAAGAGCAACCTATACAACTCAAAGTGGAGGCTGAGCTTCCCCACCATGTGTACTGCCCACTTACTCCCAATGGAGAGAACCATGACAATGAAGTCAAATACATTCCAGCCATCGGTGAAGTAGTAATGCCTCAGGGCAAACATCTTCAGGACACACTCGCAGGTGAAGACGGCCACAAAGAACTGGTTGATTTTGTTGAGGATTTTTGTCTTTTCTTCACTCTGCTCATCAGTTTCCACCATCATGGTGATCATGTTGAGGCAGATGAGGACCATGATGACGATGTCAAAAGCTTGTCTGGTCACAATGTCAAAGACGAAGCCTTGGTACTTGTTCTGAGAAAACAAGAGATGGCGGTATCAGGGCCTCTGGACCAACAGAAACCAGGCATCTGGAGATGCTGAGTTCTGTCTGGATGGGTTTTAAGTCTCTTTAATCTCTCTCATTTCACAGAGGCCAAGTTCTGTCCTTACCTCTTCCAAAATTTCACTCTTAGTTGATTTTATTGCATTGCTCCATTTCAAGTCATCATCACTTCTCCCAGTCCCTTGAAATCACTGCACTTTGCCTTTGCCCATGCTCTTTCCTTCATTTGCAATGCCCTTTCAGTCCCCTCTCTTGGCTATCTAAATTCCAATAGTCTTCAGTGATCCATATCTCACAAGTCCCACTTCCTCCAGGAGTTTTCCTTAACCACTTCTCACCACACTACTCTGCCCCTTCTTTAAGTGCCCACAGCCTTTACAGAGTCAGTCTTGAGTTTTAAGCATTTTATGTCTGCTTCTTTTCTTCTCTACTAGACAGTCAATGAGTTATTTGAGGGCAGGGGCCATGTGTAACTCAACTTAGTGTTCCTATAGTCCCTGCACACAACAAGAGTTCAAGGGTTCAAGGAATGTGGAATTATTGACTTGAACTACTATGCTGAGGGTAAAGTTAAGTGCTGTGGTGTACCCCATTCCTGGAAATGTTCTCTCTTCATTCTAGGTCTGCACAGACACTTAAGCAAATGCAGGTACAGAGCAGGGGGTCAAGTCTTGGTCATTAACGTTCCTGGAGGGAAGCAGAGTGGCTGAGGAAATCAAAGGATCATTTGTATCCGACTATTTTATGAAGTTTTAAAAAAGTTCCTAGTATATCTCCTATTCTTTTCCACTCTGTAAACCCTTGATCCCAATCCATTCTTCACCCCTCATCTTCCTCCCAAATCCTTCTTCTGAGCACTATGGAGCTCACCTGCCTTAATCTGCAAACGTCTCTGATCCAATGGCTTCTCATTCTTCCCCACCCCAAGTACTCCAGGGCTGGGGGGGCAAGCCTGAGGTCCTTCTTTCTTGTTCCCCACTGCCACTTCCAGATCTTTGCTCTTCCTGTATCTTGTAAAATTCTCTTCATTGAGTTTTGTGTCACTTAGCTAGTCTACCTGTACTTCCTCCTCACCGCTGTCACCTACCAACCTCCTGCTCTTTCTGCTTCATTACTGATGAGTGTGGCTCTTGACCATTATCCCAGACACTTCCATATCCACATGGATGACTCTTTGTCTCTCAGCTCCTTAGCTAAATCTCTAATGACCTAGTTTATTCTAACTTAAAGAAAAATCTTCCTGAACCCCACATTTCCCTTCAGCTGTGACTCCACTTCTCTCCTCACGTTTACAGTTAAATTTCTTGAAAAAGTTTTGTACAATCACAGTCTCCCACTCACTCCTCAACACACTGCAACATAGCTTTCCCCCCTCCTGTTACTGGAATGGCTCTTGCTAAGATTACTATGACCTCCACAATGCTAAAGCCAATGGACATTTGCTTGACATTGCTTACCACTCCTTCCATATTGAAACTCTCCTTTCTTGGTTTTTACCATGCCTCACTTCCCTGGTTCTTTTCATGTCTTTCTGGCTCTCTTTCTTAGTCTCCTTTACCCAGCATTTAGATATTAGAGTTACTCAGGCTCTTTCTTAGGCCCCCTTTGCTTTTCATCCCCTTATTTCTCCTTTGGCAATCTCTTCAGCCACCCTCAGGGTTGTTGTTGTTGTTAGGTGCCATCGAGTCAGTGCTGACTAATAGTGACCGTATAGGACAGAAGAGAACCACCCCATACGGTTTCCAAGTAGTGGTTGGTGGATTTGAACTTTTGGTTAGCAGTCGAGCTCTTAATCACTGCACCACCAGGGCTCCAACTCTCATGGTACAGACACCATATACATTTCTTTGATTTAGGCCTCTCTTCTGAGCTATAAACCTTTTTATCCAACTGGCTTCCCAACACCTCCACTTCAACTTCTCAGAGACAATTTACAACTATTGGGAAAAGCACCAAAATCCTCTTCCTTCAACAAACCTACTTCTTTCCCAGGATGGCTCCACCACCATATGATTGCTTATGACATTGCTCTATCTCCAAGGCCCCTACATCCTAACAACAACCTAGTTCTTATGATCTAAATATTTATCAAATTGTGTCCTTTTCTTTATTTCCATTGCATACACTAGTTGAAACCATCACCATCTCTCATCTGGATGTCTCAAACGGCCAGTCAAAAGACTCACCACAGAATTCTTGCCATCCCCATCCTCACTGACCCATTTTCCACATAGGCACTAGACTGATCCTTCAGAAATGTGGACCTGATGATTTTACTCTCATCAGCTGCCTCCCATTTTACCATAGGATAAAGGAATATTGGCCTCTCCCACTGTCCTCCAGCCACTGACCTTCTCTCACCTGTTCAAACACTTTAATTCTTGGAAGGGATGGTAGGTTCATCGATTTTGCTGTATATATATATGAATTTTTTACAGTATAAGTTTATTGGAGTAAAACATTCATATAGAAAAGTACACGAATCATAATGGTACAGCTCAATAAATTTCACAAAATGAACACATCCATACAACCAGCACCCAGATCAAGAGGTAGATTATTACCAGAACACCAGATGCTTGTCCATGCTCCTCCCCCCAGTCATTACCCCCCGACTAACGATAAACACCATCCTTCTAACACCATACTTCAGTGGCTCTTACCCCCAGGGCCAATTCTGCCCCGCCCCCAGGGGATATTTGACAATGTTTGGAGATGCTGTTGACTGTTACAGTTTGGGGGGTGGGGCTGCTATTGACATCTAGTGGGTTGAGGCCAGGGATGATGCTAAATATCCTACAATGCACATGACAGCCCTCTGTCCCCACAACAAAGAATAATCTGGTTCAAAATGTCAACATCGCTGAGGTTGAAAAACCCTGCCACAGATTAATTTGACCTGTTTCTGAACTTTTATGCATTGAGCACCTTTGCATAGGATTTAAGTGTTCTCTGCCTGGAATGATAGCCCATCCCCTGGCAACTTCTACCGTTCTTCCAGACCTCAGCCCTGACCCATCTCCTTGGAAACCCCAAGACTAGCTCAGGTGCTCTTAATACATATTATTATCTTTCCCTGTGAAATAATGCGTGTCTGATGTTGCTAATTATTTGTCTCCCTCGCTGGACTGTAATCTCTGTGAGGGCAGGAGCTTCGTCCATCTTGCTCACTGCACTTTCCCGGTGTCTACATAGTGCCTGGCACAAGACAGATGCTCAATCAATAGCTCAGAAACGGATGGCACAAAGTAAAGCTCTGATTAGCCACGCTTCAGATAAAACTATCAAGCCCCCAAAGATGACAGCCAAGAAAACCCTAGGGGTCAGCTCTATTCTGTACATGGGGTCACTGTGAGCCGGAGTCTACTCGACAGCACCCAACAACAACAACTAGGTTTGATTACATTTAATTCTGTACAAGGCGCACTTTCTGAATATGCACTGTGTTCAGGGCTCTGTGTGAGTGGCTATGAGGGAGGGGAGGAACTTGCGCTGAGTCCTACCAGGGAGCTCCCAGGAGCTGCAAAGTAGGCAGACGGGGTAAGGGGGTAAGTGCTGGGACAGAGGCTGGTCCCTGCCTTCTGCCTGCAGGGAGTGGGGGAGATACCCTGCTGTGTTAGAGCAAAGAATCAGACCCATGTGGGCCAGGCTCTGTGCATAACTGCTGGTTCATGTCTTTCCTGGGGTGAGAGAAGATTCCTGAGCCAAAAATCCCCTCTGTGTCATCGGTGAAAATGGTGAAAAAATAGAGGCCCATTCATGGCCATATGAATTCTAATTACACAGAGCAGGGATGGCATTGCTAAATGTCTGAATGTAGATTTTGTCCTGGATATTCAGACCCTGGGGAATGGGATCACTTGCTGGCTGCTCTTGGCTTAGCCTGTGGGCAGGGATCACGTCTTTGTAGCCCTTTGGGCTCTCAGAGATGATGAAGTGGGGGACAGACAACATGACATTCTACAGCCTATTATTTTCCATAAAGTGGAGTGTGTGAAATTGCTTTTAGTGATTTCTATAGCAGGAAATGTTATAGAATAAAATTCCCCAGTCTCCTGGAACCCTTAGTCTTTGCTATGGATGAAACATAAGAAACATTAGAACTTGGGCTTTAGCAGAGGCAGGGGGTGGTGTGTATGTGTTGGGTCCCCATGTGGTCTAGGTTGGCCCTGCCATGAAATGGAACCCACATGCCTAGGGGCAGAACTCCTGTGCCAATGCTCTGCTTACGACCAGCTTGACCTGTTGGGGAACTTAAGTGGGGAACCTAAGTGTGGAACATAACCTGATTCTAGTGCCAATTATCTGGTGAAAAGGACACAGGGACTGGGAAGGTGAGTCTTAGGTATAAGTGGGAACTTCTCTTTTTCCTTAAGTTTCTTCTTGGCTCTGGACTTTGAGGAAGGCAGATGTCCAGGCTTGTGCCACTGAATGGTGGGTGCCAAGATGGTGCCTGCCACATGGATGCCAGCCGGGAGCTAAGATGGGTCAAGCCTATGGGCCTCGGAGAGCAGCCCTATGCAGTTGCTGCTTGGGACCTGCTCTGCTGGTTTCCCTGCTTGCACCTAAGACTTGAAAGCCTTGTTTAAATATTCTGGCCTGTGCCAAGGGGAATGAAGGGAAGAGCATTTTCTATGATTGGGTCAGAATATTAAGGGGAGAGCCACATTCCTCCACTAAAGGCCAGCATAGTGTTCATAGTTAATTAGGAATACATCTCCTCCCTCAAAGACATGGTGCATCTCAGGAACAGAGTTGGGGTATGAGGCTTCGCGTCCCCTCCCCATGTGGAGGACCAGCCCCAGTGCCAACCTTGGAGGACCTTGGTTGTGGTTTAATTAGGAGAGATAGCGATTTTGTTGCAGGTCTTACTGACCAACAGTCCCACTTCCCACTTCTATTGCAATGCCCGGAATTCCAACTCTAGGTCCATACCTTTGTATTAAGATAGGGTCCTCTCCAGGATCCCTTTGTGAAATGCAGCCTACCTATCCTTTTCCAGGGAGATTGTCCTCCTTGAGAGGAGGAAGTCTGTCAGCTTCCTTGAGGGATTGGTAGATGAGAGCGGAAAGCTGGGATATCATAGAGAGACTGAGCAGTGGGTGTGGGAAGATGCCAAAAACCTTCATGATTTTGCTAAGGGCTGTCCCTACAGGGTTTGGGCTTGAGCCCAAATCTTCAGTGTCTGGTTTAATTGTGCACTCACCATGAGTCCAGCCACCAGTAAAGGCCAGCCAAGGACTCAGCTTTTTGCTTCTCAGTAAGTCTCTGAATCCTCCTCCTGTACCCATTGACTTGAGTCTAATGGCTGGGCTCAGTCTTGGAGGTATGAACCTCCCTGTCACTCCCCGCTATAACACTTCTTATCTGAATAGAGAACATTAATAAATTTATGACCACTGTTTCCAAGTAAAGTGTGCCAAAGGTCATGATTTGTTTTTTCTCTTGTAAGTTTGCAGGCTTCTGTGCTCACAAAGTTTGGAGTCATTTATGCAAATCTCCTGCCTTGATTTAGAAACCCCAAGAGTCAAAATCGACTCCACAGCAACTAATAACAACAAGAACAACAACAATGCCTTGGTCAGTGGAATGTATGTCTTTCTAATTCATTTAGGGAAAGGCCTGCTAGTTTGCTGAAAGTCCTTAGGCTTTGCCCTTGTCTGGGGAAGGGCTAATGGAATTGTGCCATGGGAAGGGCCTGTGGTTTTCTTCATTAACGCTGCATCTTAGCCACAGAAAGTTTATGTAAAGGGACAAGATGCCAGTTCCATTCACTGGAGGGGATGGCTCAGAAATTCCTTGCAGAGGTTCAGTTGTACATTTCCAGCATACCAACATTCCCACCCCTAAACCTGTTCATCCACTCCCAACAGGGGTGCCATCTTGGGGCCACCCAACAGTTCATCTTCTGGCAGAGAACTGAGAAGAACTTGGATGATATCATGTATGGTCTGTGTGCTGCATTTAATGGAGGAATAAAATGGCATGTCTCTTGGGGTCTTTGAATAAAAGAGCCAAAGTAGGGTCTGACCCTAACTTTTGGCCAATCTTTAAACTCCAGAGTGGGATAACTCTTGGTTCCTATTGGGTCACCTGGCCATGCCCATGACCAAGGGGGTTGGGTTTTGGCCATTTCCTCTCTGTCCACCTGTAGGCATGGGGTGGAATGTAGGGTGAGGCTGAAGAACCATTACAACATAGCTCATGATCCATAACCACACAGTGTTTCATTTCAGGGTTCTAACCACCCTCACTATCATTTAGGTCAATCTGCTTCCACTCTTCTGCTTGAACCCTAAAACCCTGGGGAACTTAGTATTTACCCAAACTGGTTTATTTGGAGCACCTATAGGAGGCACATTCACTCCAGAAGACCAGAGTTACCTCATTTCTTGGGCCTGGGAACAATCATCATCCTCATCCCCAAACTCAACCAGATTTCTTCCCCCACAGAGAGCCTGGCCAGGCCCTTACACAGCACAGGATTGGGCTGTCAGGCTGGATTCATAGACTTGCTCTGCTAGAGGAAAGCTCTGAAGCTCACCAGGGGCCGTGGGATGGGCTTCTGGGGCTTCTTGGAGCCCAGCTTCTTCATGGCATTGTAGTACTTCTTCTGCTCCTCCGTCATGAAGATGTCCTGGCCCCCTAAGTGCAGAAGAGGATAACACACACCACTGTTACTAAAACAACAAGAGTCCCAAGAGATGCCAGAAGCAGAGCACCCTGGAGGAGGAGGACCATTTTGACCCTCTCCCCTCTTTTGCAGGAAGAATCACACATCATGGAGTGTCCTACACAGTTCTACAACCAGTACCAGAGCAGGTAGAAATGATCCCACATCTGACTCCTTGTCTGCGTCTCTGAAGCAAAGCCCATGTCTCTTCTCCAGGAACTCAGAGATGGTGCCATGAAGCGTGGGGAGGCTTTGGGAACATGACTCAAGGAGAAGGTCATATAGACTCAGATCTGAGCCTGAACCAATTTGCTCATTCCAGTCAAATTCACCGGGCTTCTGGAGTCACAGTCCCTCAAGGTACAAGAGCTTCTCCAGGGCCTGCTAGAGCAAAGACTCTGGGGTCCCAGCCCCTTGACCCCTTTCTGGAGAGGAGGAGCTGTCTAATTAGTTACCGCCTTGCCCTCCAGTCCTTGGTCTTAGAGGGACCGTTAATTAGTTCTGTTGAGTTAACCGGCTATGCTGTTACAATGCCAGAAGTTCTGTCATTGGAGATGCCTTCCTTCCTTCCTTAGGACTGGGTGTTAGTTCTCTTTTAGGGGCCCTTTGGACCTCCTTTATTCAACCTCTCACCTTCACTTCCTGACATAATTTGAAAGCCACCCATTTCGATAGAACCTGCATGTAAATTAGTCACTGCAAATCCTAGAAAATGGGCTAAGATCTGTGGGGTTTGAGAGGCAGTTTTAGAAAATTAATGGGCACAAGGGCTTCCTGGGGAGGGACATCTCAGTGGGGGGCAGGAGTGGTGAGTCTGTGGGTGCTGAGTGAGCCATACTGAGAATTCTGGACAGGGAGTTTCTTGCCCCAGCTTGATCACTGACTCATCTCACTCCGTCACTTAACACGGCTGGTTCCCTCTCTAGGTCCCAGCTTCCTTATCTGTCAAATGGGAGAACAGATTGCCCAGAATAATCTCAAAGCTCTCTTGGGTTATTGACGACACTGGTCAGCGCTTCACAGCTGTCTTGCTGGGCCCTCTGGGCTCCCACAGATCTGTCCTGCCTGGTTCTCATCCCCAGAAGCCTGGCAGAGGACCTCTTGCAGGTGGGGTGTCTAACCCACTGGATATGTAATCCAAATTATAATAGTAACACTTGGTATTTAGTGCCTGCTCTGTGCTCAACCCTACACTGGGGGTGCTTTGGATAGGGCTTTATTTACCTCTTGCCACAATCCTGTGAGTAGGTATTATTAGCCTCATTGAATGGATGAGAAAATTGAGGCTTGGAGAGGTTTTAAAAACCCATCTAGCAAGTGGTTGAATCAGGCATGTGAACCCAGGTTTACATGATGCCAAAACCAATGCTGTGCTCCTGTGACCCCTTTTTCCTTTGGATCTTGGATTACACAAACCTAAAATGGTGCCCTATCGACCTCACAGAGGTTTAAAAAAACCAAACCAAATCAGTTGCTGTCGAGCTGATTTTGACTCATGGCAACCCAATGTGTTTCAGAGTAGAACTATGCTCCATTGGGTTTTTAATGGCTGTGATCTTTTGGAAGTAGATCACTAGTCCTTTATTCTAAGGTGCCTCTGGCTGGATTTGAAGTGCCAACCTTTTGGTTAGTAGCACAGTTCTTAACCATTTGTGCCACCCAGAGAAAACATTTTTAAACCTTATTGCCCCCATATTTTAATATAAACATGGAGGATTAACTGGGATTGGGTTCCTATTCTTCTGAGTCATTGCCCATGGAGGCAAGAGCTTTCCTCCCCATGCCAAGGAGGGTTGGGATTCTGACATCACTGGGGCCCTGGCCCTCCCCAAAGTGTTCTGATTCAGTGCTTTGGGGTCAGGGCCCCAAACAGAGGCAGCAAGTGCTGGAGCCGTTTCTTCCTCTGTTGAGATTTCCCAAGGGGTCACCTGGAACACATGCTCCAGATGGGAAGGAGAATGGGAACCCAGCAGGGGTGTCGTGAATGCTAACACACAGAGAAACCCAACTCTTCCAGAAGTAGCCCAGACACCAGCAGGGGTGAGGGCTGTAGTCAGGGAACAAAGGTTGACGTAGGTGTTAAAAGCCAAAACTGGGCTCCCTGTTATGTGTGAAAAGGCTGTGAGTAGTGCTGGCTTTAGTCATAAGGGCAGGGCTGGTCAGGGGACAGGGTACTGCTGGCCCCAGAGGGTTAGGAGTTATTAGATTCACTACAGCAGAAGCACCCAAGCCCCACTTATCTTTTTCTTCTGTTGATTGAAGTTGTCAATTATGACCCCAACAAAGAGATTCAGTGTGAAGAAGCCGCCGAAAATGATGAAGATGACGAAGTACAAGTACATGTACACATTGTCTTCCCACTTGGGCTGCATGTCCATCTGTGGTCAGAGGTGGAGTGTGGGGAGGATGCTGTGTTAATTTGGGTTCACCCTAAAAGCCAACCCAGAGACAAGGACTCGGGGGCAGGAAGTTTTTCTGGGAGGTGATCCCTGGAAGTAGGAATGAGAAATTGGGGAGAATAAGCAGGAACAGGAGAAAAGCTAATGAAGTGGGTATAATTGAGTGGCATCACTGCCGACAACTAATGTTCAGTCCTGCTGGGGCCTTCCGAAGAACAGTGTAGAACACCCCTCAGAACTGCACCAACAAGGGACAGGGAAGTGGAGTATTTATCCATAGACTTCCATACCTCAGTGGTGAGGGTTGCCTCCGGAAGACATTAAACTCCTGGTGCTTGGGGGAGGGGCTGCTGAGCAAGTTCTCCAGGGCTGAAGAAAGTCTTCAGACAGAGAATCGGATATGCAACATGGGAGGGGACTACTCAGAGGTGGGCTGAGGGGACATGAGCCGTCAACAGTATCTGCTGCATGAGAAAGGGTCTTCCTCCCCAACTGCATCTCCTCCATCTGCCCTTATGATACTGCCTGGAATTCCATCTCAATCCATTGGACTCCCCTCTGTTCTAGCCACTTCTCCCCTCCCACTTCTGCCCAGGGAGTGGCCCATGCTCCCAGTCCTTTAGGAATGTTTGATACTTTCCTCAGTGTGAGCAGGGGAAGAACCTGAGGGGCCTGGGGAGTGTTCATGGAAGGCAACAGGGTAGGCTGGCTTAAACATCCAAGAGAAGACAGCTGGACACTGCTCCAGGGTAGGATAGTGTGTAGCTGCTGGGTGATCATCTCTTGCAGTACCAACGCTATCTTCAACCCATTTCAGACACGGACAGATGTGGAGAGGGCAGCATGGAGGCGGAGACACAGTGGCCTGAGACTCACCTCTCGGGAGTCGACAGCTGCATACATGATATCCATCCAGCCTTTGAAGGTTGCCTGGAAACAAGCATTAGAGGCCACTCAGTGTCTGCCCATCCACCTACACTGGACCCTTCCTAAGTCATGGTGGTCCAGCGAGAGAGGAGGCCAGCTAAGGATCCTTGAGGAGGAAAGGGCTTGGACAGGAAGGGAGAAAAGAAAGATTCCCACCTCTGGGTGACTTGAATACTCTCACACGATCATTTAATCATTTAATTCTATGCAGCTGTTTCAGAATAGCTTGGCATTAAGACATGGAACCTTCCAAAACATGGCATGGATTCTTCGCCAAGGTATCTGACATCTAGTTCCAACTGCTATTAGGCTGCTCTGTGTCCTCAACCAAGGCATTCCCCTTCTCTGGGCTGCCATTTTCTCAACCACTTTCCCACCTCATGCTCATGACATAAGAATGGCATGCTTCCCCATTTGGAAAATGGGGAACGTGGGAGTAGAAGACCTCTATGTTACGGTACAGGTTTAGCATTCTTGAAGTCTAGAGATGGGTTATGTCCTCCGGCATGTGCAGGGCATGGACAAAGCCTCACCTCTTGCACTCTTAGGACTGTTAGAGTACTTGATAGGCTGTTTTGATATGCTTATTTACCTGTTTTTCTGCATACAGCATGAGTGCTAGACCAGTTCTGACATGTCTCAGTGTCTTCCAGGGCTGAGCACAGTGCTTAACACACCACAGCTACTCTGAAATCATTTGTTAAATGAATTCACAAACAAATGGTGTAATGCAGGAATTCATGGGTAATGCTGTGATAAATATACAAGTGATTGTATCAACACTTGAATAAATGGAAGACTGAATGAATAAGTGGATGAAGGTGAGGCATGAATAAGTAAATGGATGAATGAAATGCTTGACTGTCATCATTACCAACATTATTTGTCATTACAATAGACTCGGGACATAATTCATTACCATCTAGGAGATGATATGAAATAGAAGACTGAACGTGTGGCTCTACAATGTCTATTTTGCACAGGTAGTGTGTTCTAAGTCATCACCTGACACAATGCCGTGGCATTCTATTAGCCCACACTTTTCTAATTTGCACCTTTGTGAGATCAAACGCACTAGTAAGCCCTTCTAGACTCATGGTCTGTAGGAATAGGGAACGACCTCAGTTCACACCATGTTCTACCCCTTACAAAATCTCTACATGGCATCTTCTGGGAGACCCCAGATGCCTCCATTTTATCCAGCATCCAGGGGAAGAGACATGGTTGATCTCAGGACTCACCACCTGAAGAAGTGCAAGGTAACCCATTGCAACGTTATCAAAGTTGACCTTCACATTGACCCAGAAGAAGCTGCCGGTGTAGTTTTGATGTTTACACTCAGACTTGTTATTCACCACAGACAAGGGCACAAGAGGAAAGTCTCCATTGGTAGTGTTGATGCATCTCCAAAACTTCCCTGCAAAGAGGTTCACACCCATAATGCTGAAGATGAGCCAGAAAATGAGGCAGACGAGGAGGACATTCATGATGGATGGGATGGCACCCACCAGGGCATCCACAACAACCTAGGGGGAAATGCAAAAGGACCTGGAACCTCACAAATGCCCACCCTTCTCTGCTGGCTTCCACTTCCACTCAGGCTGCTGCATGAGTCAGTGGTCTTTGGAAGCAGCAAGAGAATTGGGTTAGTTAGTGCAATAAGTTAGACTCAGAAGATTGATTCTTTGGCCAAGAATTAGTGAACACCTAAGTCCATATTTGCAAACTTGCTCATTTTTAAATCAGCAAACAAGAGCCTGGAGGTAATAGAAAATAAACTTCAAACTATTTCAATCTTAAGCTCCTAATGTTTGCAAAGGCACAAGTCAATTTTAAAAGTCAACTTTTGTTTTGAAGATATGATGTCTACTTGGAGCCAACGGTGGAGGAATAAAGTGAACCTCACTTTCTGCATTGGGAAGCTTTTGCAAGTATGAGGAAGGGGAGGGGAATAATTAGCAGCTACTCATTCTCCCTTAAAAGAAGGGCCAGGCTTGTGAGCAGTCCATCCTGGGAATGACAGTGAGGACAAGGTGGAGGATGACGGTGATGGATAAGGAAAGGGGTGGATGTAGGGAAAAACCCATAGGACCTGATGACAGCCTTAGGTCAGAAAGGAGTTGTATTCCAGGAGGTGGTGGTGACTGAGGTGCCAAGCTGAAAGATGGTGCCACTGCATTTAAATGGAGTGTTAGAGGAAAAGCTTATTTGTCATGGGAAGATAAAGAATTTAGGATGTTCTAGAGATGTTGGCAACAAGGATAAGAGGCGGGGTTGGGAGACTGAGATAAACAATGCTTTGTGGAGCAGTGAATCAGGGTCACTTCCCTAACAACAAGAGAAGGTGAGGTCTGAGCCCTGGTGGATGTGAAATTTAGGGATGAGAAGGGAAAAGGGACTCACAAAGGAACTTGAAGGAGAACAAGGAGAATTAGGACACTGCAGCACCTCCCAAGTTGGAGAGGGAAGGGAGGACCCAGAACTGACCTTTGGAGGAGGGTCTTGGAGCTCAGGGTGGGTAGTATGATGGGTGTTAAAGGGGAATGGATTACCAAATGCTGCAGATCAAAGCAGTTTTGAGATTTGTTGGGGCTGTGGTCTTACCCGCATGCCTTCAAATCGAGACAGAGCCCGCAGTGGCCGCAGGGCGCGGAGGGTGCGAAGGGCTTTGATAGATGCCATATCAGAATACTCCAGGATCTTTGCTATGAGGCTTGTCAATGAGATCTGAGTACAGGCAGAAAGCAAAAACATCACCCTAGGGTTCCAGAAAGGCGGTCCTGGTGGAAGGAGACAGGGAATCCCGCCCACCCTCCTGCCTCCCTTCTCTGTCTGAGCCATTGTTCGGGATCCCACCTTATCCTGAACTCCAACAAGAGGTCTAGAGAGAGTACAGTCCCTTGTCTTTTGTTAAAGATTGTATTCATCACTTATATGAACCTCTGGGTAAAAAAATCACAGTCTCCCACATTGCCACCCCCTGGTATGTAGGTGGCCAAGCTCTCAGTGTATTAAATCAACCCTCCCCTCCCCCTCTAGGGGCACCATCAACCAGTTCCCAACAGTCTTGAAACTTTGGTTGAGTTTTAGAGCTTGGAGAGACGATGCTTCTTAATGGGGCTATGCTGAAAGTTTACTTTGAGGAACATAAACAGTCGCAATTGTATTTGTCCAGAAAAGTGGTCTGGAAAGAGTCCTTGTCTGAGTGGGGTCTAGTCCCCTCCCATCACTGATTCTTTACGACCTCGAGTCGGTGCTCTGCAAGTCCAGGCTGTACTTTCACCCTTTATGAAATGAGGGAGACAGACTAAGAGAATTCCAAGGTCCTTACAGCTCTGCAGTGCTTCAGTAAGTGTGACTGGCAAGTGTCCCTGAGGTCTACCTGTGACAGGTATCTGAGAAATAATGACTGAGTTGTGAGCCCCTATTAGTCTGTCAGTTTTTCACATTCTTTAAGTGTGGTCAAAGGACTGCAAAGGACACAAACTGACATAGAGAAATGGTCACTCCTCCCTGGAACTTTGAAGGTGCCAGAGAGATACCGTATCCTTAGGCTTGAGCCCAGGGGAGGCTGTGATACAATCCTGTGAGACCCTTGCTGCGCCATGCATGAATTCAGGCTGCTAGGTGGGGGATACACATAGGAACTTCAGAAAGGAAGGGGTTTAACCCTTGAGCCCTATAGCCTTACACAATGTCTATTTGAATGGGTGGCTTATTCCACCAGGACGAAGAACAGGAAGGGAAAGAACCCCCTTCCTTCATCCACGAGAGGCTCCAGCCACCAGCAGGTGGCACTCAACTGCCTGGCTGAGTGAGGGCAGGGAGGTTTGGAGCCAGTTCCATGCTGGTCCCAACTGGTCTCCAGGTCCCAGTATTGCATCCTTCCCATCCATTCTCCACTGCAAATCTGATTATGAGTATCTCTCTCTCTTACTTCCAGCCACTACCGGTGCTTTCTCAGCCTCAGGATAAGCTCCAGACTCCTTAGCCTGGATTATACAGCCACAGCCTATTTTTTCAGTCATGTTTCATGCATATATTCTACCCAAACCAAATCGTTCCCTGAACACACCTGTGTCTGTGCCTTTGCTCAGGGTCATCTTTAACTGGGACTGGCCTCTCCAGTCCTCTTCACACTTGTTCAGCTCCTGCTCATTTCTAAGCCCTGCATCTATAATGCCACCTCCTATATGAAACCTTCCCCACCACTCTCACCCTCTAAGTGGAAGCCGGCTCATTGTCTCTGTGTCCCTGGGACACTAATTGTCTCCCGCAGTGCTTACCACATCTCCCTTACAATATGTTTACTTCTCTGTGTGTGTCTTATCTGCTGGAAGATTAAAGTGTAAACTCTTGCAGATAGGGAATATTTATTTCTTGCTTCTGTCTCTCCCAGAGAACTTCACAAGACAATCCTGCATTCAGTAGTTGTCAATAAACATTTGATGAATGGAAGAAAAGATAGACACATGCTGGTATGAATGGAAGGAAGGGGAGAAAGAAGAACAGCTGGATGGAAGGATGGCTGCAGAGAAGGATGAATTAAAAGATAAAGATGGAGAGAATAGTTGATTGAAAGGATGGAAGAAAGAAAGCAAGGAAGAAAGAAAAAAGTATGACTGTAGGGATGGATGGATGGGGGAAAGATGGATGGCTGGATAAAATGACTAATGAATGGAAAATTGGAAAGTTGGGTAGAATTAGATGAGTGGAAGAGATTAATGAATGGATGGAAGATTGATTAGATGAATAAATGGATGGGTGGACGAAAGGAAGGGAGGAAAATAGATGAATGGACAGATGGGTGGAAGAAAGGAAGGATAGATGGATGGGCTAAAGGAAGAATGGAAAGATAAAAGAATGAATGGATAGAAGGATGCTTGGATGGAAGATGCAAGAATGGATGAATAGATGATTAGATGATTGGATAGTTGGATAGAAGGACAAGTCAAAAGATAGAAAGATAGAAGGAGTTAAGGATCAGTGGATGGATAGGTGGAAGGACGATTAGGATAGACTGATAGGCAGAAGGAAAGAGGGAAAGAAGAATGGGAATGAATGAATCGAAGGAGAGGACTGAGGGAGATGGATAGATGGAGGAAGGCAAGATGGATGGATGATTGGAAGGAAGGAAAAAGGAAAGATAAGTGATTAGATAGATGGGAGGAGAGATGTATGGAAGGAGGGATGAGTGATTGGAAGGGAGAATCAGTTAAGAGGATGGATGGATTGAGTGGGTGACCATTTAAGGTGATCAGGCTAAAACTAATGAGACCGACGTAGTTAGGAGTGACTGTGCCCTAACAAGGGTGGGTAGCTAGAAGAAAACATTTTCCCTTCATTTATGAATAATTATTTCATATGCACAAAATTATCACCTGTGACTCACATCTCAGGCCTCACAGCCTGATGCCCACAGGCCTGCTGTAGGAGGACCTGCCAACACAGGGGCTGGACAAAATGTTCTCTACTGGACCCCATCCAGCTTCAGGAGGCAGGCACCAAATACAGACAAGTTTCCTGAGCACCTCCGATATGCAGACCTTGGTGCTGGTAGCTGCTGGAGTGGGGGAGGCCGAGAACACAGCAGATGCTTCACCTTGCCTGCAGGAACCCTCAGAAGTGCAGCAGTGAGCAAATAACTCGATAGTCATGTCTCAAAATCAAGAGGGCAATGGCCTGGATAGTTAGAACAATGTGGTGGTTAAGAGGAGGGAGAGATCACTCCTGGCTTTGAGGGGTAGGAAGGCTCTTGGGAGGGTTTAAGGAGGATGGTGTCCTCACAGCTTTAAGGATCACACACGTAGTGTGTGGGAGGCACTTGGTGAATTCCCTAATGCAGGCATCAGTGGCCACTGGTTACTGTGAGTCTGAACACACGAGCTCTAGCTCATCACCTCTCCAAACGGATCCCCTGTGGAGGAGCCAGTGGCATAAGCTCAGTGGTACTCAAGCTGGGCTTCACATTGGAAATGCCTGGGGTGCTTTTACAAAATGCTAATGCCTGGACCCCACCCAAGACCAGTAAGACCAGGGTGCCTGGGAATAGTGGGGTTTGATCATTCCGAGCTCCCTCAGTGATCAATTCCAGAGTGCAGCCAGGGTTAGGACCACTCAGGATAGTTAACGTCCTGGGTCAGCTTGGCTAGGCTATGATTCTCAGTGGTTTTGCAGATACTGGACTGGTAGCTCTTCCATAATGTAATATAACGTAATCACGTTCCATGATGTGATCTGACGTGATCAGTCATTTCCTCGGGAATGCGGCCTTTCTCCCGAATACAAGTGGATGTTCTGGCAAAGCTCACTCTCTCTCGGCCATGGACTCTTCTCATCACCTAATCTCCAGGACATAAGTTTGCAGCAAGTCCAGCCTGCAGCCCTGACCTGCAGATTTGGGGTTTGCCAGCCCCTACAGCCCCACGAGCCAGCAGAGGCCTCCAATCTCTCACTTTGACCTGCAGATTATAGGTTTGTCCGCTCATACAAACACGTGAGCCAACACAGGTCTCCAGCCTGCCTCCTGATCTATGGATTTGGGACTTGCCAGGACCCACAATTGAGTGAGCCATTTTCTTGTAGTAAATCTCTCTTTCTCTTCCTCTCTCTCTATATATATGCGTCTCACTGGTTTTGCTCCTCTAGAGAACCCAGACTGAGACACCACTGAATCAGCAGAGGGGTATATTCTACTTAGTCCTCAGGCATCAAACCTTTGAGATCCTCATGGGTCATCTTGTTAGGATGTAAAATGCAGCGGGCAGGAAGTGGTCCTTCTGGTTTGAGGCTTAAGAACTGAGAACTCACGTGAGGGTCTCCATTGTGCCAGAATCCTGTGCTGCCTGGGTCTTAGCACTCACAGGTGTGCAGGGCTATTCTCAGGCTCTTTGCTAAGTGCTCGAAGCATCTTTGGAGTAGCCCTTGAGGGCCAGGCCTGCGAGCTTCCTTTGCATGAGCTGCAACCATCAGTCAGAGGTGCAGTCCCCAAACCCCGCCCGTGCCCACCGAGTCACTCACGTTCACAATGAGGAAGTCCAGCCAGCACCAGGCATTGGTGAAGTATTTTTTGAAGCCATAGGCAACCCACTTGAGCAGCATCTCGAACACAAAGATAAACGTGAACACCCTGTCAGTGTACTCCAGCAAGGCTTTCACCGTGGGCTTTTCCTCAAGGTAGTAGTCTTCAAAGGCCTGGAAGAAGGGAGCAGAATGGCAGGCTGTCTGGACACACAGCACAGGTGCCCACGCTGACGGGGAGGACACAGCCCGCCCTCCCACAGCTCCTGGGAACGGAGCTGGTGACCAGCCTGCCGCTGTCTTCTTGTCTTCTCTGCCCTGAGGAGGTGAAGGCGGGATTGTGGAGGAGGCACCTGTGAGATTCGGATCTTGCCTCCCTCAGCTCCAGCGGGGACACGGAGCCCTACTTAGACTTTGCCGGGGAGCTGAATGCAAGTGAGAAAGGAAATCTTCTCGAACTGGACTTTGGAAGTGAACCAGAGGGATGCTAAGGGTGACTTAGTTTAAAATAACAGCACCAAAGGATGTTCACAGGCAGTTCACAAAAACGGAAGTAAGACTCGCCAGTTACCCCCTGAAAAAGAGTGTTCTGTCTCACTGGTAATCAAGAAAATACTTTTGAAAAGAAGATGCGGTTTTTCTTTTATCAGGTCGGTGAGGATGAACACGATGGGGGTGGGGGGACACCAGTACTGGTGCGACTTGGGGAAGCTGCTGCTCTCATCCATGACTGCTGGGTGCACAAACCAGCTCAGCCCTTGGGGAAGCCAAGCTGGTAACATGGTTCCAAGGCTTCAGAACCCAGCGATCCTACCTCCAAGAATTTATCCTACAAACATGTAACTGAGGCTACGAGTGCCATACCCAGATCCTCTCTAAGGACCCAGGCTCCCACCCTTCGGTGCTGGAGAGCTGGCTGCTCACAGCTTGCAGGTGTCCCTTCTCCTGGGGACTCTCCAGAGATGGAAGCAACTGCCTCCACCTTGGGAAATGCTTCGGAGGTTATATCCTTCCCCCAGGGGCAGCGCTCAGCCAGGGTGATATGCGGGTTTCACAGGCTGCCTCATGGCCTCAAAGTGGGACAGCTCTGGGGTGCTCTTCCTGCTCCAGAGCTCCCCATGGGATCCGGCTGAGGCTGGATTTCATGTGAACCCCCATCTTTTACCAGCGCCTTTGTCTGTTCTGGCTGCCTGGGTGATGCTAATGGTTAACGCTCTTGGCTACTAACCAGAAGGTTGGTGGTTTGAATCAATCCGGAGGCGCCTTGGAAGAAGGCCTGCCGATCTCTTTCCGAAAGGTCACAGCCAATGAAAACCCTAGGGAACACAGTTCTACTGTAGGGTTGCCATGAGTTGGAACCAGCCTGATGACAACTGGTTTGGTTCCCCCCCCCCCATTCTATCTGGGAGTCCCGGTGGTGCAGTGGTTAAGAGCTATGGTGAACTACAGCTGCTAACCAAGAGGCTGGCAGCTGGAATCCACCAGATGCCCAGTGGAAACCCACGGGTAGTTCTACTCTCTCCTATAGGGTTGCTATGAGTCGGAATTGACTTGATGGCAACGGGTTTGTTTTGTTTTTTTTTAAATTTATTTTTATTCTACCTTCCTTCCCTCACAGGCTTCACCTGACAGCACTTCTTCACTAAACAGCTTGTACAAGAATCCTTGCTTCAGATTCTGCTTCCAGTACTGGATCTAAGGCTGGAAATAATCCAGGCTCTCCAAAGGAGCACGCACAAGGATATTCACTGCACTTTATAGAAGTAAACATACCACCGTTGCTGTCGAGTCAATTCTGAGTCACAGTGACCCTATAGGACAGAGTAGAGCTGCCCCATAGGGTTTCCTGGGCTATAATCTTTATGGGAGCAGACTGCCACATCTTTCTCCTGAGAAGCAGCTGGTGGGTTCGAACTGCTGACCTTCTGGCTAGCAGCTGAGCTCTTAACCACTGCGCCACCAGAGCTCCAGCAGTAAACACAAGGACTGGTTAAATAAATTATGACACCGCATTCACATAACAGAACACACTGCAGCCATTAAATAAAGTAGTAGGAGAGTACTTCCTGAGAAAATGTAATTATCTTACAGAATGCTTAAAACATGGCTTCATTTTTGTAATATTTATGTATTATACGCTCAAGAAATATGGGAAAGAGGTACACCAAAATGCTTTCAAAATGAGCTTCTCTCTGAGTGATGGGAAAATGGGTGACTTTTTTTCTTTGCATTTTTCTATAATTCCCAAGTTTTTTATTTTTCACTTTACTTTGTCAAATAAAAACACGTTAGCATTTTTAAAAAAACGCTCACAGTGAAAGCATAGAGAAGACTAAATGTAGTACGTGCCTGACTAGTCCCTCGGGGAAGAGATGAGGAGTGAAGGGGAGAGCTGCTGGGCTGGGCTGGGGCAGGAGAGCTGCAGGGCTGGGCTGGGGCAGGAGAGCTGCAGGGCTGGGCTGGGGCTGGGGCAGGAGAGCTGCAGGGCTGGGCTGGGGCAGGGGAGCTGCAGGGCTGGGCTGGGGCAGGAGAGCTGCAGGGCTGGGCTGGGGCTGGGGCAGGTGAGCTGCAGGGTCTGAGCTCCCCGCTGGACATGCAGGGAAGGAGCAAGGCAGAGCAGAACAGAGAAATGAGGGGAGAAGGCCCATCGAGAGACATGAGTCCATGAGTAATGAGGAACGCACCTAGTCAAGAGCCAGTGTGGCTGTTATTTTTATCAAGGAGGGCAGGAAGGAGAGAAGGGGAGGAGTGGAGAAAGCACCGCCCAGCCTCCTTCTGCCCCTGGTGTCTGGCCACTGCACCCACCACTGTGCTGAGGCTGCTGCAGACAAGCTGGACGTGCCAGGGCAACGGGTAGACCCCGCCACCCCTGACCCCTCCATTGCACCCAAGATGGCCAACCAGTCCCTCCTCCTGGAAACACTTTCCTCCCTTAGTTTTGTCTCATTGCTGCTCTAGTTTCCCTGCCGCCTCTCGGGCTCTGCCTTCTCCTTCTCCTTTGCTCCTCCCTCAGGCTGAGGCTACACACTGGGCACCCTTCCTGGGATATCTGGCATGTACGTGGGTGCCCAGACATCCAGTGGGTTGTTTTCAGGGACAAATGACACACGAGGAGCAAGATAGGTGAAAACCCTCAGGGCGCTGAGTTAGGAGAGTGGGGCTCTAGTCTTCGCCCTTTAACTAATTAGCTGGGATCCTGGCAGGTCCCTTCGAGGCTCCCCAAAGAGGGATTTGACTTCCTCGTCTGAAGAATGGGCACATGGGGGATGATGAGCCCTCCCTGTGTCTACCTCGGTCTGTTGGGGTGATTACTTGAGATTGTGTAACGAGTCTAAGTCACAGAATAGAGCGAGCCATGTCTACAAACCCTGACCCTCAGCACAGTCGGTGCTCAGGAAGGGCCCCCTAGCTCTGAATCTCTATTTGTGGAAGGCCTTGCTATTCAAAGGGTGATCTGTGGACCACCTGCAGCAGCATCACCTGGGAGCTTGTTGGAAACACAATTTCTCAGGCCTCACCACAGATTTACTGAATCAGAATCTGCATTTGACCAAGCTACCCAGGGGATTCCTTTTTGAGAAGTGCTGCTGTAAGAATTTGCCGTCAGCTTTGAAGGAGTAATAACAGTACTGGCAAGTGGTTTGAGAAGACAAGGAAAGATAGTCCTCTTTGTACTAGGCCGTCAGAGAAGGCCAGTGCGTTTGGGTGGGAGAGGTTAGCAGATGGAAAGCGAGGGGACTTTGGGATCAAACAGACATAAGGACAAATCTAGGTTTTGCTACGAAAAACTGGGTAATCTTAGACATATCCCTGAAATTCTTTGAGTCTCTGTACGAATAACTTCCAATATAAGAATCAGCACAAAGCCAATTCCTGTGAGGCAGAGGTCAGGCATGTCCCAGATCTCCGCACTCTCCGAGGTGCGGCACCTCTCCATCTCTGACACGGACCACTCTCCCTCCCCGCAGCACTCTCTCTCCGCGTTTAGATTTGGCAATCCACTGCAACACCTCAAGAACTCACGAACTGTACTTACAGGGTACAACTCGGGATCAGGATCAACAGGCTACAACTCGGGATCAGGATCCGGAAGCACGTAGGCAAAGTCTCCCTTCTTCAGTGCGGGAAGGCTCCCTCAGCTCCTTTTGGCCCCCCTGAGGACAGGCTCCTCTTGGCCCCGTTGTCTGTCACTGCCTGCCCTGCCCCTGGGCCCCTTCCGGGCCCCTCCCAGGCTTCAGTGTTACAGCCCTTGACCATGTAACAGCTTTTTTAGGAGGTTCCTTGCCTCCTCTCTTTCTCTGCTTCTTCCTGCTGCTTCACTTCCTGCTTCTTTCTGTCTCTAAAACCTCCGTTCTGCATACATATACACAACTCCTTGTCAATTTCAAGGCACGGCTCCCCCCAGCAGGGCCACAAACTGACTCATTCCCTCTCAGTAGGCCACAGACACTTCATTTGCATAGTAGGTGACAACCCACCTCATCTGCATAGTCTATTGACCAATCCCTGCAAGGTACATACCAACTACAGGACAGGCTGCAGCCCAGGACCAGACAAAAAGCATCAAAACCAAGTTGTTCACAGCTAACTCAGGAAATGTCAGTCAGTCAGCCTGGACAAAAGTAACAAAAGCTCTAGGGTAGAAAACTAGGGCAAAGGTAATTCCTCAGGGTTTTGGGGGAAAATCTCTCAAGCTGCTTTTCCAAAGAAGGAAGGCAAAAGGCCACATAAAGGGACTCATTTCACCACAGCCTCTGTGTCCCCATCTATAAAGGGGAATGCATACACCCACTGCTGGAAGTATTTGCAGCCAGGTTTAACAGCCACGCCATGGCCCCCGAGCACCCACCACGTCCTAACTGAAAGCAGGAACACAAACCTGGACACCAACGTTCATTGCAGCCCTTTTCACAATAGCCAAATTGTGGAAACAACCCAAGTGTCCCTCGACAGATGAATGGTGAAATAAAATGTGGTACAGCCACATAAAGGAATACAATCAGCCAGGAGAAGACATGAAGTCCTGACATATGTCACAACTTGGATGAACCCTGAAAACATTATGTCGAGTGACATAAATCAGTCATGGAAGGACAAACACCGTAGGATCTCACTTACATGAGACAAGCAAGTACGTAGAAAACAAAGATTATTGTTGGTTGCCAGAGGTGGGAGGGAGGGGGCAAAGGGGAGTGTTTGCTTAGGAAGCATTAAGTGTATGATGAAGGTAGTGGAATAACTCGGAAAAAGATAGTGATAACGGTTGCACAATATGAAGAATATAATCAACGTCACTGAATTTTACATGTATAAATCGTTGACTTGGCGAGTGTTCTGGTGTGTATATTTTCACCACAATCGAAAAAGAAAGAAAAAGAGGAACCTTGCACTGGGCTGCAGCTTTCCTTCCAGCTACAGGCTGGGGACTTCAGCTCAGGAGTCAGGGGAACCCACTGACGTGACTCCAGGGTCTTTGGTTTGTGGAGGATCCCATGTGGAGGACTTTGCAGTGGGGACCCCACCCCGGCCACCCCCTTACCAGCACTCCACTGCTGAGCAGGATCATGAAGACGATGAAGCTCTCAAACCAGCTGTGCTCCACAATGCGGAAGCAGGTCTTTCGCACCTGCCAGCCCATGCCCCACGGAGCCTTGGCGGTGTCCACTTTGCAGCAGGGACAGTGGCTCATACAGCCTGTGGGAAAAGGGGGCTGATGGTGGATGATGTCCCACTGGGCTGGGGACCGTTCCTGCTCCAGCCCTTCATCTTCTCTGCAGCCACTCTGCTGGGAGATCCACCCTCCACCCCCTTGGAAAAGAATTCTTTCCTGGAATATGTGGGAAGAGGGGTCTCCTCCAGGCAGTCTCTCAGTGCTGCCTTCCAAGTGTTCCTCCCCATCATCTGTCTTGCCCCTTCAAGTCCTCCCCAACCATCCTCCTACTCACAGATACCAATGGTCCCTGTCCTATGCCCATCCATCTCATGCCTCCCTGGAAGCCTGAAAAGACACGTGGCCTGAGCCTGGTGGTATCTGAGGAGCTATGACCTGGGTTCACACTGGACTGAGGGGTGGTCATATGGCTGGGATGGGGCCTGGGTTCACAATGGACTGGGGTGGTCATGTGGCTGGGGTGGGGCCCGGGTTCACAATGGACTGGGGTGGTCATGTGGCTGGGGTGGGGCCTGGGTCCACGCTGGACTGAGGGGTGATCATATGGCTGGGGTGGGACCTGGGTTCACATTGGACTGAGGGGTGGTCATATGACTGGGGTGGGGCCTGGTCCATGCTGGACTGAGGGGTGGTCATATGGCTGGGGTGGGACCTGGGCCCATACTGGACTGAGGGGTGGTCATATGGCTGGGATGGGGCCTGGGTCCACGCTGGAGTGAGGGGTGGTCATATGGCTGGGGTGGGACCTGGGTTCACATAGGACTGAGGGGTGGTCATGTGACTGGTGTGGGGCCTGGGTCCATGCTGGACTGAGGGGTGGTCATATGGCTTGGGTGGGGCCTGGGTTCAGCCCAGTCCAGTCCACCATCAAGTAGAACTGGATATTCAATGTTGTTTTTTTTTTTTTTTAAATTATTGAGACCACAATTACCTTCATAGCAAAAACTATTTGTTCATTCATTCATTGTACAGCTATTTATTGAGAACATGTTAAGTGCCTCATGGTTCTAGACATGAGGAAAAGGAAGATGAAGAAGACAGGGGTTCTGCCTTTGAGAGTTACAGGAAAGACAAAGGGAAACAGACACGCCGCGGCCCTCCTCTGGATCCTTTGAGCCCCCTGTCAGGAGCTTTTATGGTGGTGACTAGCTTTTCCCTTTTCAGTCTCTAGGGGGCTGGTTTATAACTCAGTGAGGTGCTTTTGAGGGCGATGATGAGGCGTGTCCCCAGTTTTCTTGCGTCTGCCCTGGCTGACATGGCATGTAGTGGAGATACTGCCGCGAGGCTGCTGCGAGCGGTGGGCACTTGTGTTTGACCCTGGCCTCCTCAAGCCTTGGAGGTGGGGTGGGCAGCAAGCTGCCCTATTTGTCTGTCTCCTGTGGATCCCAGGCCAGGGCGCCAGACACAGGATGTACCCAGGGGAGTGAGTGTTGACTGGAGTCTGTCCACTAGCCTCCCTGTGAGGAGGCCTGCGGCCACACCTTACCTTCTGTGAAACAGTCATCTGGCTCTTCCAGGTCATCGGCCAGCTCAGGGATCTTCCTCAGGACCTCCTCAGGGTCCGGGCAGTCCACCGTGCTGCCTTCTGAGGAGCTCATGTCATCCCCTTTCTGCAGGACAGAGGCCCAGGGCAGTGAACTCAGCTCTCTGAGGGGCCCAGTGGATCTGCACGGGTACCTAGAGGTCAGACTGGCCAGGAGCTCCAAGGTGCAGGGAGAGCCCCTGGGCTGGGGCCCGCAGAGGCCAAGGCCTCCCTCAAGTATTTGGTGCCTCGCCAGCTGAGGCCCGGAACAGGGACGCTGTCTGTCCGGCCCCAGAGATTTAGCTGTGAGAGGCGTCAAACCCCCAGGTCCCTGATGGAGTGAGGGCTGGCGATGGCCCGAGACACGGTAATTACACCCATAAAGACTCTCAGTATTCTCTGGGTTTGAATATTTCATCACCGTGCAGCATTGCAGGGGCCTGCTGCCCTTCTGGCAGCTCCAGCCCTGTAATGTCTCCAGCTGAATTCAATTAGGAGCTGAAGCTGCTCTCATATTAGCAAACCTGATAGCCTGGCTAATGGACTCAAATGGTGGGGTGGGTCCCCATCTGTCGCTGGCAGGCCCCTCCCTGCCTGTCCAGGGTCACAGACCACAAGCAAAAACAAAACCAACATCCAGCAGCTGCGTGCTGAGAACAGTGAGTAGAGAAAACTAGCCAGGGGAGAGTCCTTCGAAAGCTTCACAGGAAACATGATGTCTGCATGTCAAACTCGACAACCCTCCCCCAGCAAGACCAAGTGGCTTACGCTCCCCAAGTCCCATCTCGGCGCCCTCTTATCTTACCCCTCTGTGGTCGGCCCGGAGCTAGCATTTCTCAAGGTGAAGGACTTTGGGAATGAATTACATCTTCCTTATCTTTGTCTACGGAGCCCTGGTGGCGCCGTGGTAAAGCGCTTGGCTGCTAACCGAAAGGTCAGCAGTCTGAACCCACCAGCTGCTCCTTGGGAGGAAGATGTGGCAGTCAGCTTCAGTAAAGATTTACAGCCTTGGAAACCCCGTGGGGCAGTTCTGCTCAGTTCTGCATTGTCGCTGTGAGTCGGAATTTGACTCAATGGTAGTGGGTTTTTGGTTTTCGTATCTTTGTCTAACGGTCTCTGGGTGGTGTGAATCGTTTATGTTTGACTACTAACCTAAAGGTTGGCGGCTGGAACCTACCCAGCAGTGTCACAGAAGAAAGGCCTGGTGATCTGCTTCTATAGAGATTACGCCAAGAAACCCTATGGAGCAGCTCTACTCTGTAACACATGGGGTTGCCTCGAGTCAGAATCGACTCAATGGCAGTGGGTTTGGCTTTTGGTCTATCTTTGCCTGTCACAGAGTCAGCGCTCGGTGGCCAGGTGTCAAATCAAGTTCTTAAATTTAATACAGTGGCATTCAAGAAGGAGCCCCGGTGGCGCAGTGGTTAAGTGCTCGGCTGCCAACCAAAAGGTGGATGGTTTGAACCTACTCAACGGCTCTGCCGAAGAAAAGACCTGGCTGTCTGCTCCCGCAAAGATTACAGCCTAGAAAACCCTATGCGGCAGTTCTACTCTGTTATCTGGGGTCACTACGAGTTGGAATCGACTTGATGGCACCCAGCAACACCATTCAAGATGTTAAATCTTGAGAGTTACCTCTTTGACTATAGCTCGTTTTCTTCAAAAATTTGTGAGTGAAGCCACAGGCTTATTTTTACCTCTTGCAAGACACGCATAAATCCCAAACCTCCCTCCTGCTTGGTCTCTGTAAGGCTGTCAGTTCCCGACTCACCTAGAGACAATTCTCCCCACATGGTCTGTTTTTGGCTAGGGACTGCGATGTGGACAAAAGAAGCAGAGGAGAGTCACAGGGAAGACTCCCTCACCCCCGAGCAGCCCCCCCTTCCATCCGCTGCCTTTGAAAGATTTTAACTTTCTTTGTGTGCTGTCTTCTGCTGCCTTTTTTCTTAGCTGTCATCTTCTGGGTGCTCAGTCTGTTTCAGGCAGGAGCTAAACCCTTGACAAGCAGCATCTCACTGAAGCCTCAAAGCAATCCTACAAAGTAGGCATTGCCATTCTGTTTCATAGATAGAGAAACGGGGGCTCAGAGAGGGTAGGAACTGGCCCCTGGTCCCACAGCACATGGAGCCTCACTCTTTCTTGTTATCCTACAACCAGCCTGGGGTGAGCTTGAAAATTCCCAGGATGAGAAATGAGGCTATATGGTCTACTGCAGCCTGGAATGTGTCCTCCCCCGATCCTGCCAGCCCAACAGTCCACAGGCGAGGGTCTGGGAGGCTGTCCAGCCTCTCTGGGAAGCTCACATACCTACCTCTGCAGGGTCTTGGGGAGCGGCCTTGTCTTTCCCCTTGTCCCCCAGGTACGGAGCCAGGTCCGCAGAAGACATCCCAGAGCCTGGGCTCCTGGGTGCCAGGTGGTCCTCGTACCTCCCGACTTGCTGCAGCTGCTCCTGCTAATGAGAGAGGGTCCCAGTCAGGTACTTGGACTCACGCTCAGCTGATCATTTCTAAATTTAGAGAGATCTTGTCCATTGCAGGCTGGAAGAGCCAAGGACCTAATTTATGTAACTCATACACACGATATACTTCTGTGAGGTGAGCATGGAGATCCTACAGCCAGAGGGATCTGGGTTTGACTTTAGCCTCCATTACTGACAAGCTGTGTGACCTCAGACAGGTTATTTAACCCCTCTGATCTTCATTTTTCCCATCTGCAAAACTGAGAAGGCAAGACCTACTTCATTTTGGTTGCTATGATTATTGTGTCAATGCTTGTAAAACACTCTGGACAAAGTCCTCGGCTCCGTAGATGTTCGCCTGATCACTGTGGCTTGTCCGGGCATCAGTGATAGTGAACTCGGTCATCTGGAGCCTCTCAAGGGCCCCAAAGTAACTGAAAACGCCTGAGTGGTAGACAGCTATCGCCGAGTTCGTGTCCTTTACTCTGGGGATGGTGACTCCCTACCCTTGGCTGTCACCTGGACGAAAGCATGTAAAATATGACAGCTGATAGGAGCAGCTGCTGGAAAGTAAAAGTGACAGCTTCAGGGAAGAGGCTATAGAAAAGCTACAGACTCAAACACAGCTGTCTGCAGTCACTTAGTGGCCAGGCCAGCAGCCCGCCTGTCCCTGGGGTCCCACAGGGATCCCTCCCCAACACCTTGTGCAGAAGTGCACGCCCCGAGTCCCTGAGAAAAGGTTAACGAGGGCTGATGTATCAGCTTAAGGTGGTAAGGGACTGTGCAAAGTATTTAAATATATATATTACCAAATGATTTAAATGTGCTTTACATTTTTTGGTGCCAAAAGAGACACATTTTATTTATCTATGACATCACTTGTCGGAAAAGGCTGGATCAATGAGTAACATAAAAATCAGGACTCCTGAGGGTGCTGGCAGAGCTCAGATGAACTTTGCTCTTGGACAAAATCCTGTTCTTAGAGGAATCTCATTAGCGTCTCATGCACCGGGCCTGAGCTGGGCAGAGAGAATGGGGCAAGCCCTAAGCATCTCAGAATGGCTGGGCTCAACCTTTGCCCCGTCCCTTGTGTCTTGGCAATTCTGACTCTTTCTTCCAGGGCCAGCTCAAGTATCGCCTTCTTCAGAATTCTCGGCACTGTTCAAGCTTCCTTACATTGAGGTCGTCTATGCCTGGCTTGCCAGGGGCTCCTCAAGGCTTTACCAGCCCTGATGCTGGAAAACCACTTTACCAAAATTTCCCTTCTGCCCTGGGTCCCTCTAGCCCTGAGGCCTTCCCCTGCTTCCTGTGGCTGTCCCATGGGGAAAACTCTTACCTGATCTTTGGGGGCCACTTCCTGTCTGGAGCTCTGAGCATCCTCCTCGCCATCATCCTCCAAGTCATCGAGGTCAGATTCACCCTCGGCAATGGGCACAGAGACCCACACACTGGGATTGGTGATGAAGTCACTGTGGTCATCCCTGGGGCCTCTGGGGGCCGGGACCCCTCCAGGGCTTCCCACTGCAGCGTCGGTAGCAATGTGGTTCTCAGCGCTGGAGCTGGAGAGCGGGAGTTTGACCACCAGCTGGGGCTCCGCCTTGGGCCAGGGGCGCAGGCAGGGCTTGCGGAAGAAGTCACAGAAGGCCTGCTTGGCGCAATGGCCAAAGGCCTGGATCCGCGCCAGCGCCACCTGCAGGTTGTTCACCTCCCCGTCGTCTTCTGGGGCTGTGAGGTTGTCAGCACTGAAAGAGTTCAGCAGCAGGGCGATGAACAGGTTGAGCACCTACAGACAGAGAAGGGATGGGAGGGAAGAGTAGTCCAACATGGGGCTGAAGCCCACCACAGCCCACCAGCTGGATGGCAGGACAGCCACAGCCTGGACCTCTCCTGCCCACCCAGAGTGCTTTCCTCCTGGGGGGAAATACATTCTGAGACCAGTTCAAGGAGCCTTGGGGATGTCCCAGAGTGACCTGCCTCAGGTGGAGAAGGCTTGGAAGTACATCCTCCATCACAGTGGATGATCACCCTGCTGAGCTCCAGGACATTCAGGGACAACAGAAAGGATCAGGCTCAGGTCTTCCTGGGCCCACCATCACCTGCCAAATCCCTGGGTTCTACTCCTCCTTTTGGAATCTCCTTCCTGCCTCCACCGTCATGTTCCTCACCTGCAAGCAGGGAGTGGGGTCTTTCTACCTTTCAGAGTGGCTGTGAAAATGAAATGACATGAGAGATGTAAACGTGCTCAGAGAGGTGGACTTTCTGCCCGAGGGTCGGGACCCTGTGTCTGCAGGGAGGGCGAGTTCATCCTGGAAGAAAGGCAGAGCGTGGAGAGTGGGAGTTTTAGACAGCCCCTCAGCTGGGAATGCAGGCAGAAGGCACTCCAGCTCAGGGACCAGGTTGGGAAAGACTTCCAAGAGTCTGAGCTCCTCTCTTGGTTTAGCTTTCTCCAGTCTATAAAACTCTTATGGGGAAAAGAACTGCCCTTTGGGGATCACTTCCCCTCTGGAGCTCCTCCTCACCATCATCCTCCAAGTCACCAAGGTCGGATTCACCTCTGGCAAAGGGCACAGAGACCCACATGTCAGGATTGGTGATGAAGCTGGGATTAGTAATGAAGACACTGTTCATCCACAGGGCCTCTGGGGGCTTGGACCCCTTCAAGGCTCCCCACTGCGGTTTGAAGTTGGTTGACTTCCAGGGCAATAAGCAAGGGGCTCCTGGAAGACCATATTCCACCACACAGCCAGCCATTGCCTGGAGGGCAGGGGCACCCAGAAAGAGAGTGGGTGGAGACGAGCTGCGGGCAAGGAGCCAGGCTGGGACAGAGAGGGGCGCACTGGCTAATTGGCAGAAGGCCTCCAGGGGGATGCCCTAAATCTAGGGGGGTTTTGTTATTATCACTGTGGCCTTTGATGTTGTTCATGACCCGGGTTCTCTCTTTTGTCCAGTCAGGCTTGTCCTTGCTCCTAGCTTGGAGAATTCAGCCAGCTTGTGCTCTTTTGAGGAAAAATATCTTCTGAGAACCCCTAGAGTAGGGAAGGAAATTTTTCCTTCAACAACTAACGGCTACTATTTATTGTGTGTCTGCTGTGGTCCAGACACCGCACCAGGCAATTTGCCTATGTCATCTCCTGTAATTTAATTTTCCCAGTAAGCCCATGAGTAAGCACTATTTTCTCGATTCTAAGGAAATTCGAACTCAGGGAGATTAAATCTCTTGCCCTGGGTCACCCAGCTAGTAAATGGTGGAGCTGGGATTCTAAACGGGTTTTCCTTCTCTATCACATATACTCATTCCAGAAAGTCAGGCTGCCTCCCAAGGGATACAGCTTATAATGTGTCTCACGTAACTTTGAAAAGTTTGAAGACTGAAGATGAGGGAGGGACAATTTAGACATAAAAATGTGCAATGTCAAAGCTTTTTAGGATATCCCAGCAGCCGCCTCATTGCCCAGGAGACAGTGTCACCAGTGGGGTTCACCACTCACCACCAGGTTCCCCAGCACCATCACCATCAAGAAAAGGATGAGGCATATGGATTTCTGGCCGACCTCCATGCAGGCCCACATGTTCTCGATCCACTCCCCGCAGAGGATCCGGAAGACGATGAGGAAGGAGTGGAAGAAGTCGTGCATGTGCCAGCGGGGCCATTCTTCCCCGGGGGCGGAGATGTTGCGCCGGTTATTGCGGTAGCTCTCCCCGAGGAGCTGCTTGCCAACCAGAGCGAAGACAAAGACAATGATGGCCAGGATGATGGTGAGGTTCCCCAGTGCCCCCACTGAGTTTCCGATGATCTTGATGAGTGTGTTTAAGGTTGGCCAAGACTTGGCCAACTTGAAGACCCGCAGCTGCAGAGAAATGGAGATCGTGTTAGGTCCTGGTAGCTATTCTCATCACATTTCATCTGGAGTCTTGGCCAGAAACCAAAGATTTGGGAAAAGTACAGGCAACTCATGCCTTAAGATGGGGTTCTCCCTAGAAGCTGCATTCAGAGACTAAAAAATATGATTACCTTTCTGTAATCCCTAGGTATCAATGTCCTTCACCGACTATGGCAAAATCAGAGGTCGAATACCGAGTGGTAGTCTTGCTACCTTTAGTCTATTCAAATGGAAGCTGAAGAAAATTTAAAATAAGTCTGCGAGAGTCAAAATATGACTTTGAGTATATCCCACTTGAATTTGGAGACCATCTGAAGAACAGATTTGATGCATCGAACACTAATGACCGAAGACCAGATGAGCTGTGAGATGACATCAAGGACACCATACATGAAGAAAGCAAAAGGTCATTAAAAAGACAGGAAAGAAAGAGAACACCAAAATGGATGTCAGAAGAGACTCTGAAACTTGCTCTTGAACGTAGAGTAGCTAAAGTGAAAGGAAAAATGATGAAGTAAAAGAGCTGAACAGAAAATTTCAAAGGGTAGCTCAAGAAGACAAAGTAAAGTATTATTATGAAATGTGCAAAGACCTGGAGATAGAAAACCAAAAGGGAAGAACATGGCTGACATTTCTCAAGCTGAAAGAACTGAAAAAAAATTTCAAGCCTCAAGTTGAAATTTTGAAAGATTCTATGGGCAAAATATTGAACGACGCAGGAATACACAGAGTCACTGTACCAAAAAGAATTGGTTGATGTTCAACCATTTTATGAGGTAGCATATGATAAAGAACTGATGGTGTTGTAGGAAGAAGTCCAGGTTGCATTGAAGGCATTGATGGAAAACAGGTCTCCAGGAATTGACAGAATACCAACTGAGATGTTTCAACAAACTGACGCAGCACTGGAGGTGCTCACTCATCTATGCCAAGAAATTTGAAAGACAGCTACTTGGCCAACTGACTGCAAAAGAACCATATTCGTACCCATTCCAAGGAAAGGTGATTCAACAGAATTTGAAAACTATCAAATAAAATTATTAATATCACACATAAGTAAAATTTTGCTGAAGATCATTCAAAAGCGATCGCAGTAGTACATTGACAGGGAACTGCCAGAAATTCAAGCTGGACTCAGAAGAGGACGTGGAAAGAGGGATATCATTGCTGACGTCAGATGGATGTTGGCTGGAAGCAGAGAATACCAGAAAGATATTTACCTGTGTTTTATAGACAATGCAAAGGCATTCGACTGTTTGGATCATAACAAATTATGGATAACGTTGCAAAGAGTGGGAATTCCAGAACACTTAATTGTGCTCATGCAGAACTTGAACATAAACCAAGAAGGCAGTAGTTTGAACAGAACAAGGGGATACTGTGTGGTTTAAAATCAGGGAAGGTGTGATTCAGGGTTGTATCCTTTCACCATACTTATTCAATCTGTATGCTGAGCAAATAAATCCAAGAAACTAGACTATATGAAGAAGAACACGGCATCAGGATTGGAAGAAGACTCATTAACAACCTGTGATATGCAGATGACACGACCCTGCTGGCTGAAAGGGAAGAGGACTTGAAGCAGTTACTGATGAAGTTCAAAGACTACAACCTTCAGTATGAATTACACCTCAACATAAAGAAAACAAAAATCCTCGTAACTGGACCAATAAGCAACATCATGATAAATGGAGAAAGATTGATGTTGTCAAGGATTTCGTTTTACTTGCATCCACAATCAACATGATTGATTAAAGGAACATATGAATGTGGGTCCCTGAAATCACAGACGTGTGCAAGTTCAGAGCTGGTGGGGGCAACCGATGTTGGTCACTGCCCCAAGATGAGAAATGTCCTACTAGAAGCTTAGCCGATACCTGCCAAATGCAGCAGTCATGCCCTACCAGTCAAAAATGGACCTGTTCTCACTTATTTGTGAGCTCCATCACACCCCACCCTACCCTCACAGAAGGGCAGTTCTTTTCATCCCTAACTTTCAGGAGACGCCAGAACTGTGTCCGTCTTATTGACACCAGCCACACATGTGCATAGCCCCATGCTTGCTTGTGAAGTATATGGAGAGAGATCAGTGGGCCCCTGCTCTCATGGGACTAATAATTTAGTTACAGAGACAATACAACAACTCCAAATGTCTTCACCGTAAACCCCAAAGAAAGAAAAAGCACTGTGCTGTGCTGCATGTTGCTGTCAGCTGCTGTGAAGCCACCCCTAACTCATGGCAATCCCATATACAGTTGAGATTGTACCATCGTGACCCATAGGGTTTTCACTGGCTGATTTTCAGAAGTAGATCTCCGGGCCTTTCCTCCTGGTTTATCTTAGTTTAGAAGCTCTGCTGAAACCAGTTAAGCATCAGCAACATGAAAGCCTCCACTGACAGGTGGTGGCTGCGCTGAGGTGCACTGGCCAGAAATCAAACACAGTTCTCCCGCATGGAACGTGGCAATTTTACCACTAACCACCACTGCCCCTGTGTATAAAGATGTATAAACACTTTGAAAATACATTTGGGTGGTTCTCTAACGAGTTAGAAAGAAATATCCGGCCTCAACAATCAGCCAGTTAACATGTGTTTAGGAAGCACCTACTCAGTGCCCGCCTCGCTCTAGGTGCTAGGACGCATGCTGAGTATCACCCAGCCACCCACCTCCAGGGTTGGTGGTTTAATCCTCTTACACAGGAGGTACCGGTTCTCTATGTGACGGGGGATCCATGTTCACCTTAGACCCAGTGTGAAAGTTACTCTCCTCATACTGTAAACAGACCTTAAACAACCAACTCTGTGGATTGGACACAGAAGCAGCTGATAACCGTAAATAAAAACTTAGTGTTAGCAACTAGACTGAGCCCTTTTGAAAAGGGTGTTGGGGAATGCAACGTTTCCTTAGCAACGTAACTGATAAAGGTCTCTTCTCACAGTAAACTCTAGGCAATGGGAAAGCAGAGACCGGAAGTAGGGCTCTGATGCTGTAAAACAGCCATCCACACCATAGGGCCGTGGGAGGCATGGCTGGGGACAGCTAGGGGCACAGGGGGATGGTCACTGGCACCTGAGCTAAAAGACCAAAGCACTGACTGTTGTCTTAATCACATCTGGGTAAAGGTTACCACTGGTTCCTTAGCTAGCAGGGAGAACGTAGAAATTAACATCAGAATCCCCTTAATAACAGTTATTGCTTCTTGTCCATAATTAAGCTTATGCTAAACTGTAAGCAAATTATGTCTACTTCTCATTATGGGACATGAATTCAGTCATTCTCTATTAATTCTTTTGTTGTCTTTACAAAGAGCAAGACACAGAGTCCCTCCACTTGCTGTTACAGAGAAATACTGGGGTTTGGGGGCCCTACCATTAGCCAGTCAGTCAACAGACATTTGCAGAGTGCCCACTGCTGGGCCTATAGTGCCAAACCACCCTGCCTGGCCCTCGCTGGGACCTGCAATGAGTGTCCTGGAGAGCAGCCCCACCTGTGTCCAAGCTGCCAAGACTCTCAGTTTTACTGCAATGAGTGTCCTGGAGAGCAGCCCCACCTGTGTCCAAGCTGCCAAGACTCTCAGTTCTACCCTACCTGGTTGCTCCCTGTAATCTCTGCCCAGCTTAACTTTACATCAAAAGCATTTCTTTGTATTATTACATAATATTTATGAATACTTTTAGCTGCTAGAGATTCTTTTACATTTAATGAATAATCTCTCTAATTAGTCTCAGAATTTATATAAAAACTTCTATTTAGAAAAAAAAAATGCTGTCAACCAAGTTGGTAACAGTGGATATATTTGGATAGTAGGACTTGAAATCAATTTCTAATCTTAGATTTAAATTTTTCTGGTGCGCAGTGGTAAGCCCTTGGCTGCTCAACAAAAGGCCAGCAGTTCAAATCCACCAACTACTCCTTGGAAACCCTATGGGGCAGTTCTACTCTGTCCTGTAGGGTCACTATGAGTTGGAACCAATTCGACAGCAACAGATTTGGTTTATATATATTTCAACTTCCTTTAATGAGGATGCTACATCTCCATAATGTTTTGAAAGTAGATCACCAGGCCTTTCTCTCCTCTCCTCTTGCAGACGTCACTACTTGGTGCTGAATGCGTCTTGTATCGTTGAAAACTATCGGAAGGCGGGGTACCATGTTGGACAGTGAACTTGGATCCCCCTTTCCATGGAAAACAACTAAAAATGCTGGATGATAAAGTCTAAAACGTATCCATGATGTCAGTACATTAAACAATTCTTCGGGCTACAATTAAATAAATATGGGAATTCAGAGAGATAAACATAACAATGAAGACAGCTCTTTCCCTGAAGACATTTGCAAACCCAAGTGACTCTGAGCTTAGCTCTCATGAGGCATGTGGAGCAGGAAACACGGCCCAGGGCCTGTCTAAAGTCGAGGGCACAGAAGTCACTCCCTCCGTGAACACTGGATCCCACAGAGCTCTGGCCTCCGGAAGGGGGCAAACTGGAAAGAAGCCCAGCAGGATGCAAGGAAAATGCACTTTCTGGTGCGGGACACCAAGCGGAGCGGGGAGAACTTGACGCTGAGAATTAGGATGGCAAAGTGGGACTCACACAGGATTTCATCTGGAAATCACACTACCTAGGCTTTTCAAACTGAGAGTTTAATTCGGAGCAATCCTGAGCCAACAGTAATGCCGGGTGCTGTGCGGAGCAAACGCGTATGTTCTCCGGAGGAAGCTGCCTTCATCCAAGGCCTCAGAGTTCCCACAAACGGTGTCTAGGAACTGCAGTAAAAACACACACAGAAGAACGAGGTCCCACGAGTGAGATCCAGGAGGATGCATAGATGCGGAATCAGACATGCAAGCTCTTCAAAACATAAAATTATCAGCCAAAGACTACATAGAATTAGGTATAATATGTTTCAAAAAAATAAAAGATATACTTGAAGGTATGTGCAGAGAACAAGAAACTATAAATGAGA